CAGCAGCTACAGGTCCCTGTATGAACCCGCAGGATCCCCTTGCTGTGCATGTGGAGGAAGTTGAAGATTTCTGAGGGCATAGCGTGAAAACCAGGGCGAGGTTTCACATTGTCATAGTAGTGGTGAGTTATAAAAATCCCTGAGGGGTTCATGGGGAAGGCCCAAAAGCCAAAAAGGTGGACTTCTTCACAGAGCTCCAGGGCAGCAGTCACCAGGATCAGTCCAGTGCTAATCCGCTTGGCCCGCACCCCTTGGCCGAGCCAGTAGCGTGAGACGTTGATGAGATACTGGGGATGAAAATAATAAACAGCTTGCTGAGATTCAAAATCATCCAGGACATATTTGACCCGGATTGAGACGTCCGTGTTGCGAGTGTTGTAGAAAGCTGGCAGCAGCACGGAAGCGTTCTCGTAGACCTGGAGCACGTCGTAGAAGGGTTTCCTCCATTTTTCCAGCTTATGAAATCTAAAGAGAAAAGGATGCGAGTGATGGTCAGACCAGCGCAGACTCAGTCTGGACCCAGCAGACAAGACACCTCCAATGGGCTTTTAATGAAACATTTCTGACACAGAGATAATTGAAATGATGTTTCAGTTAACAAGGGGAATATATTTAGATTTGTAGGTAAAGCATCAGTATGAAATGTAGGGCAAAAATGCAGGGTATAAAAAAAAAACATAGTCTCCTCTCTTTTGGCAATACATTCATCAAACACTGGAAAAACTTTGTAGACATTTCTGATCATGTCTCACTTCTCATTTTATTATGAGAAGTATGTCATTTTTCCAAGGTGTGGACAGCTGCATAGTGCACTATGCAGTGCAGAACTGTATAAAAAATTGGCAAATACCAAAGCAGAGCAAATGTCTAAGATGTCTAAAGGAAAGCAGTCATTAGCCCCATGGTCCCAAACCTCTCAGTAAGGTGGCATTAAGGTATTAACAAATTTAAAATTAAAATCATCCAGTCAATCCTGGCTACAAAGTTTAACTGACATTTTTTAAAAACATATGAGAATATGTGCTACTTTATTTAAGCATTTAGGGTGGGATCCAGTTGCTTCCACCCTGAATGTTTCTGAGACATTTGCCTGGGGCTTGCAAGCACAGCACAAGACTTCCAGGGGAAAGATGGCTCTGCTGGTATTTTAGCTCATCAGCTTCCCACTTTCTATCACCAACGTGCAGGTCTAAGTGTTTTACACATCTCTGTAAGTTGTTACTGCTTCCATATACTGAATAACTTCAATTCAGAATGAAATATATAATTCACAGTGTCAGTTTAAAGTAATATTGGGAAAAAAATTCTCTGTAACAGTTAGAATTAAGTGAAAGGTAGATTTGGAAAAGCAATAGAGATGAAAATACAAAAAAACAGAAATGACCTCTCAGTAATTATACTGGGATTGACAGTCACGACATCCGTCTTTACCCCAACGTCCGTGAAGTATTTCTCAGATATAGGAGGCAAATTGCATCTATAAAGGAAAGAAATTAGTAAGAAAGTTAAAAAATTCCTTGCACCTTTTCAGGACTAGAAAGTAGAATTTATTTAAGCATTTCTTCCAAGCAACAAATCTAGAAACAGATTGAGAATTTAAAATTGTATCAAAACACGGTGATGCCAAAACTGTGCATTAAAGTAAGAAGTTCTTAGGGGCTATATGAAGACCTCTCTTCTTCCCCAAGTCTGTGAGACATGACCCCTTTTTGCAGATGTAGCCAATGCTCGCTCATTTTGCTTCCTTAATAGCAGTTCAACTATTTACTTCGGCAGTTTAGGACAAGAAATGGGATGAAGCCCCAAGGACAATCAGCCTATAAAATCAAAGACTTCGTCAACAGCAGCTGAGCTGTATTCAATGATTAATAGATAAACTATATCTATAACATTGCCTTTAACATGCTGTGTTTTATACCCAAGAGAATTTAGGGGAAATGCTCCACAAGAGACAAATCAGTCCAGTCCTAATTAATCCAAAACTATCTGCTTCCTTTTCTTTTCCCTTTATAAGTATCTCCCAGCGCAGTGTAAGGGCAGCAATTCTGACTCTACAGATTCACCAGAGGATGTCAAAGCTATTAGGAGCAAACTTGTGAAGATTTGCAAACCTTGACTTTGCCCAACCTCCACTCACCTTGGCCTTGACCTAGATTCATCATCGCAAAAAATTTAGAGCATCCCTCAAGAGATGCTGAAGCTACTGAACCACACACACATACACACAAGCTATCACACCAGCTTTGCTTCCATAGGAAACCTAGCTAAAAAAAAGCTTCAGCATGCATTAGCAGAGGCAACGTAAGTGGCCTTGCAACTAGTTTTACACTCAGTTTAAGCTAGCGTTAGATATTTGCTGACATTCTGAAAACTGTTTGAAGCGATCTACAAGCCACAGTAAAAACCTTCACTGTTAAGATCCCCACATCTCAAAAATACTGCTGTGCCTAATTCCCAAATACCTCTGTATTTTTGAAGATCAGGGCTGAATAGGAGAAAACAGTGTAGGTATTTAGGGTAAGCGGTGCTCAGTGTTTTCACAATACTACAGTTCAGCTACCATCATAAATTCTCAGTCACAGGGAGAGGGCAAGTGGGGGAGCAGAGGCACGCACAAAAATCCTTCAAAGTCCTTCTCAGACTCAGGAGGTTCATATGTACCTCCCAGAGAGTCCCTCTTTATCAGGGCAGACAAATTTTTTTAGCCACCTCATCCTTCTCATAGTCAATGTTATTTCCAGCACTTTTCTCTGCTAGGTCACACAACGTCCTTCTGAAGTCCTCTAGCATCCCCAGTTCCACCTAGCACTGGGCACTGTGCTCATTAGGTTATATTTGAAAAAGGTTTTCAAATATTCAGCTTCAATATTTTCAAACAGTAAACTCCCACCAGGATTAAGAAAGAGTGAATTTGTTGAAAGTGGTAATTCCTTACAAAAATGATACAATCTGCATAAACTGTAGTTTTGTCACAGAACTCCAAAAATTCATCCCTGCAGAGAGTAGTCCCATCTATAAATTCACCCAATGTTTCATCACAGATCTCCACTCTGGCCAGTAGATGGAGATAGACAATAACAACTAGTAAATGCAATTCGTGTGTGTGTGTGTATTTTATATAGTGTATTGTAATATAATTAATTGGTATCAGAATTTATTTCATAGAAAAATCTTGGTTGCATCCTGCTGGCCACAAGCTTCCTGACAATAACAGATTTTCCCAGGTGTCCTGAAGGTTTCACTGAATGTTAGCAGTGCTCCACAGGCAGTTCTCAAATTATTTTAAAGAATTGTTTTGTCGGTGACCAAGATGGTGATTCCTGACAGTTTGGTGAACTGGTGTCAGACTGGAAAGTGGATTCGTTCAGACCTGACCTTAAACACAAGCTTTACTTTAAAATTGATGTCAGCAGACCTTAAGCTGTTAAACACTAGCATGTCTTTGTGCATAATGCTGGTCCCACATGTTTTGGAGGTGGTGAGCCAGGGGTTTTTTTTGCACAAGTACTGATGTACTTATTCATAGTTCAGTTCTACTTAAGCCTCTACTTAATTAATTACTGGTACCAAAAGCAATTTCTAAGTTCTGTAGTGATCGGATCTGCTCTTTTTATGCAGTTGTGGTATAGTTCAAGAAAGAGCAACAGTGGTAGAGAGGAACCTCCACTGCAAGTTCTTACACCTAAATGATGACATTTGCTGCCCATATTTCCACTTCCACTCAACAGTCTATCACCTCCATGTGTAACATAGAATCATAGAATCATTAAGGTTGGAAGAGACCTCCAAGATCATCGAGTCCAACCGTCAACCCAACACCACCATGCCCACTAAACCATGTCCCTCAGCGCCGCATCTACCCGTCTTTTAAATACCTCCAGGGATGGTGACTCCACCACTTCCCTGGGCAGCCTCTTCCAATGTTTAACCACTCTTTCAGTGAAGAAATTTTTCCTCACGTCCAATCTAAACCTCCCCTGGCACAACTTGAGGCCATTTCCTCTCGTCCTAACGTGTACCTTTCATTTCAACTATACTGATAGCTGTGATCCAGTACAATAGAAGGGAATCTACAATAACTATTTAATGTATATAGGGTACACTAGGCTTTTAAGAAGCAAATTATGTGAAGCCTGGAGTGTTTCACAGATTAAAATAAGGCAATAGTTTTCTATAAAATGGGCACAAGAGGCAGACACAAGGGGTCTGAAAATAATGAATAGTGAAGGTAGGATCAGTAAAATTTTATTTCTCATTTGATGCCAAATCAAATTAAGAATGCAATGAGCCAAAATCTGACCTAATTTTTGCTGGTATGCAATCAGAGAAATTCATTGATTTATGCACAGTTATTCTAAACCTAAGATCAGAAAATAGGCCAACAGAACTAAAAAGATTTTTCTTTTCTACAGAACAGGTCATGAATCTCTGAGCTAGCTGTCATATGCCATAACCTGGGAAAAGAGCTTAACAGGGTTTAGAGAGGGATTAGTCATGCATATGAATAATTGTGGTGGCTTGACCCTGGCTGGATGCCAGGTGCCCACCAAAGCCACTCTATCACTCCTCTCCTCAGCTGGACAGGGGAGGGAAAATATAACGAAAGGCTCGTGGGTCGAGCTAAGGACAGGGAAAGATCATTCACCAATTACCATCACGGGCAAAACAGACTTGACTTGGGGAAAATTAATCTAATTTATTACCAATCAAATCAGAGTAGGGTAATGAGAAATAAAAACTAAATCTTAAAACACCTTCTCCCCACCCCTCCCTTCTTCCTGGGCTCAACTTCACTCCCGATTTCTCTACCTCCTCCCCCCAAGCAGCGCAGGGGGATGGGGAACGGGGGTTGCAGTCTGTCCATCACATGTTGTCTCCGCCGCTCCTTCCTCCTCAGGGGGAGGACTCCTCACACTCTTCCCCTGCTCCAGCGTGGGGTCCCTCCCACGGGAGACAGTCCTCCATGAACTTCTCCAACGTGGGTCCCTCCCACGGGCTGCAGTTCTTCACGAACTGCTCCAGCGTGGGTCCCTTCCACGGGGTGCAGTCCTTCAGGAACAGACTGCTCCAGCATCGGTCCCCCACGGGGTCACAAGTCCTGCCAGCAAACCTGCTCCAGCATGGGCTCCTCTCTCCACGAGTCCACAGGTCTGGCCAGGACCCTGCTCCAGTGCAGGCTTCCCATGGGGTCACAGCCTCCTTCAGGCATCCACCTACTCTGGCGTGGGGTCCTCCATGGGCTGCAGGTGGATATCTGCTCCACTGTGGACCTCCATGGGCTGCAGGGGGACAGCCTGCCTCACCATGGTCTTCACCACGGGCTGCAGGGGAATCTCT